AAAAAAAAAAAAAAGAAAAACGTGATGATACGGTGCTCACGAAGTGTCGAGACTCTTTTGTGAAAAACCGACGAGCATGCACGGGATAATCGAAAAGCAACGAGCTTGGACCGGGTCCGATGATAGAAATCAACGGATGCTAAGCATGCGTGACATGAAAGAGAGTAAAATTATGTGGAAAGTGTATCATTCTCTTCTCTGAAACCTTAGTCTTTGGTCCGACGACTACCATCATCTTCTGCAATGTTTTGGTAACGGCGCCTGCGGGAACAGATTTTGGCAATTAAAGAGAAAAACAGAACAAAAAAGAAAAGAAAAGAAAAGGATCCTACGTTCATCGATAAAAACAAAGAAGTGGAAGTGGCTCGAAAAAGGGATCGTAAAAGATCGAAACTGCTCTTTGAAACTCAAATGGAATGTTCCTTCATCACTATCGATAGAACGATCGTTCATTTTTCTGCCGGCGAAGATAATCGCAAGTTGTGCTTACCGACTGCTTTCTGGAAGCACTTGGGCTTGCTTTTCCACGAGATAAACACGAAATACACAGGTACGGAGGTGAAGATCATCAGGCAACCATATCCTGGAAAAATCAGAAATTTGTTGTTCGCGTTGATTATTTTGGAAATTCGAAAATGATTATCTGCGAGTGCATTCTGCAAGTCGAAAAAAGAAAAGGGCTGAATTTCTACACTTAATTATAGGTCATCATTGATTAAATAGAAATTATACAAAGAAAGGTAACTTTTATGAAAATTTGCAGAATATAAAATTTAAACAAAAAAAAATATATATATATTTTTAGAGAGATATATTATATATATATATTTTTTTTTTAGAATTTTTAGAGTATTACAACACTTACAATAGTAAATGTTTTTGATCGAGATACAAAATTGCATAAATATTGCAGTTAATTAATAGGAAACTAGTTAATCAGTCGTTAATTAATAAGGATATAATTTAATGTATTATATATTACTAAATAATAATATAGTACTATTTAGTAATATATAAGTCATCATTGAATTAAATAAAAATTATACGAAGAAAGATAACTTTTATGAAAATTTACAGAATATAAAATTTAAACAAAAAAAATTTATATATATTTTTAGAGTAATGACTATAATTTAGTACTATTTAGCAATATATTATATATTATAATATATTACTAAATAGTAATATAGGACTATTCATAATATACAAGTCATCATTGATTAAATAAAAATTATACAAAGAAAGATAGCTTTTATGAAAATTTGCAGAATATAAAATTTAAATACAACAAAAAAACATATATATTTTTAGAGTGATGACTATAATATAATACTATTTAGTAATATATTATATATCATAATATATTACTATTTAATATAAATTTTAATACTATTTAATATACTATAATATAATTATTATAATTAATAATATTATTAATTATTTAATATAATATAATATAATATAGTTATATAATATTTAATATATTATACAATATATTTATAATTAGTAAAGAAAGATATTTCTAAATAGGAGATGTGTACCTGTTTCCTTAGGACTGGCGTACATGGGCACGATGGTTACAAAGAGGGTGGCGAGGATATATATTACGGGGAAGAAGAGGTTCACCTTGATGGGCCTGGACAATTTTGGCTGCGTCCATCTGAGCCACGGTAGACACAGGACAGACACGCCTATGCTCAACTAGAACAGGAAAGAAACAATTCTCATCACCATTATCTTACATTCATTTCGCAATTCCACGATCTTTAATATAATTATCCATTCTTCTCGTCATCGTCAATTTAACTCATTATTGAGATTTATCTCTTTACAGTTGTTTCGCCAATCTACAATCCTCTCTTTGTTTCATTTTTCTCTCAGTTGTAAGAAAGCTAAGGGCTAACGTTTTACGTTCTGCTGTGAAAGTCGGGCAGTATCGTCAACTATACGAAAGCGCAGCATGAGCCAATTAGAAAATTGTCACTCGTCCGGTCGCGCTGATACCACTAAACAGTTTCTAAATGCGATCCGCGTTCACGTGCAACAATGTTGAACACGTTCAACTCGAAACGTAACACGGATTTGGGCAATTAGAGAAATTTCATTTTGCATTCTTCTGAACTATGCAAAACGGCTCGGTATTGTAATTTCGTGTCAAGGTTGCAGCGCAATGTTGCGACTTCCTCCAGGAAAAGAAATTTCAACGATCTTCCCTCCATACGATAGTGTTTCTCTTCTTCTGTCCAAGTTTCGTGAATCAACTTTTTGTGACTTTTCAATATGCAATGGGACAAAGTAGAATACCCTTTAGTGAGAATACTTTCAGCAGTATTGAGACCAAAGTTCTTCAAGAGTCGCATTGATTTTTAAACGTCGAAATTTCTACGATATTTTTCATTGTCGATATTTATTCTCAGCGGAATGACGTTTAATTGTCTCAGAATATATGTAAATCCCACGTACCCAAGTAGCGAAGCCAACGTAGTTGATGAGGGCGAAGATGTCGGAAGAACAAAGGTACAACATGGACAGCAGGGTCTGCAACAGATTAAACACGTTCCCAATCATCCTCCACAATAGTCACTGTTGAGATTACTCTTTGGACAATTTAACACTTTTGTGGGGATCGAGAGGTTGTACAAATATTCCGCAGCGAAAACATTGCAAAATTACGAAACTTAACGAAAAGAGAAGTTTAACTAGAAGCAAAGTTTCCATTAACGAGCGTACGAATTGATCTTGAATTGAAATATAAACTAGAAAAATTATTACAACAATTATTGTGTATTTTGTTTAATTTTTTTTTTTTTCAACGTGATATTCTATAATAATCTTTCTCCGTATGTGGTGGCGTACCATGCAAAGAACAGCCGGCGTAGGGGTGAGCCTCGAAATTTGAATCATCGTCAATATTTCAGGCATTTGTCCCTCGCAGGCGCCAGCGTAGAACAATCTGGAGGATGTCAGAAGAATTCCATTTACAGCGCCGAACGTTGAAAGAGCGACGAACACTGGGATCATCCAGGCGAACATGCCGAATAAACGGTTTGCGAACGTCTGTGAAAGAAAGCAGAAAATGAAATCATCATCTCGTTTGTAACAAGTATAAATATGTATTAGTTGATTCTTGTTAAAGGAGACCAAAAAAATAATCAATCCTTGTCGGATTGAATTAATTAATCATTGATTAATTCGACCAGGAATAGCATCAACTTTAATTCCTAAAGATTGAATTGTTCATGAATAACATCATAATTGATGATACAATTAATCGTAATGAAATTTTAAATGGAATAATTAGTCGATCGTCCGTTTCTAATAATCGAAATTGATTTGTATTTAAATAATTACTTATATAACAATTAATTTCATAATTATTAAATTCTGGATATTGATAAGACCAATATCATTGATGACCAATTGCTTTAATTGAAAAGTAAGGATTAAATATTTCATCAATAAAATGTGAAATTTTTAATGATGGATAACAAATTATTTTTTAGTGATGATAAATTTACAAACTTATTTAATATTAAATCTGTAATAAAATGTAATGTTAATGAAGTAATTGTAATAATAAATAATATAGTAAAATTATAAAATTAAATTAAATTATCTGAATATAAAGAATTTGAATCTTGAAATGTAATTATATTTCATGTTGAAATTTTTAATAAAAATAAAAAAATGTTATATTTGAAATTTAAATTCAAAGCACTATTCTGCCATATTAAAATAATTTTATTTATTAAAATTTTATTAAATATTTATTAAAGAGGATTTACATCTTGAATAACCAACATTTGACAGTGAGGTAAATTGAAAGAAGGATAAAATATTAGAAATTGATGTTATAAAATGAATGTGTCAAGTAGATCATCAGATTGACGATAAATAAAATTTAGTTCTTTCAATTTTTAATTTCTGAAACCTCTGGAAACAAATTGAATGAAACTTTTGAGGCAAGACTCTGTAAGACTTAGTTGTTGTTAAATCACAAAGAAATAACAATATGAGACAAATTAAAAGAGCTAATTTTTTTTTTAATAACACGATAGAAATCCAGGAATCTAGTCTTTTTTTTTGACAGTACTGAATAAATTTAACAATGACCAATCATTTTATCGAATTATTAAATTTTATTAATTTTTTTTTTAATGTTGAAAGTAACTTACAACTGCCACAGCTTCGCTACCGAGCACCTCCACTGGACTCAGGGTCGTATAAAATGCCATGTTCGCGAAAACGTAGACAATGGTAACCAAGACGCACGAGATACCAATAGCCTTTGGCAAATTCCTAAAAACCAGAACAGAAATGGCAAAAAACAGATGAGAAGTAAGCCATGCCCCAGTGAACACGTGTAATTAAAAATTAAAAAAATATATATATAAATAATATAATAATAAAAAAATTTGTATATAAATAATAAAAAATATATAAATTAATAAAAAATTACATCTTTACTACAATTAAAGACAATTTAACGCTAAAACTATCGACAGAATTTTGTTTATTTACTTTAATGTTACTCTAATAAAAATTTCGTGCTTTAATCGTCGATAGTTCTAGATATGAAAGGTATTGCCGATATTGTTACCTATCCAATAAATTACAAAACTAATTTGTTGTCTTTCAGCCATCTGCATTGTTAGCTTTAGCAACGATCGCATATTTTTTTTTTTTTTTTGTTTTTTTTCAAGCATTTAAAGGAACGATTTATGAGCCGCTTACTTGACGGGATCCTTCAGCTCTTCAATGATAAAATTCAAGTAGTTCCAGCCGTTGTAAGCGAACAGTCCCGAATAAAAGCTGAGTGCTATCGACGTCACTTCTGTGTTTGTGTCGTCGAACGTGAAATACTGCGTGTGCCCTGTGAAATATAAATAAAATTCATCGATCAACCGCCAGTGGCCTGTTCTAGGTAATAATGCGCCTCTTCTAACAGCACATTTCGTGGTTTCCCAAATTTGTTAACTCGAGAAAAATTGTTTCAATGTATTATTTTTTTTTTTCAATAATATATCAATAATATTTCTTTTACAGTATACATTCTAATGTATTTTTATGTTTAGAACGAACAAAGACGTAGATAATTAGAATTACATTAAGACAAATTAACGATAGCAACATCAAATACTCCAACACTTTTCGAAATCTATATCGGTATATATTTTTGGCACATTATATATTTTATTTTATGTCAATTTTATTTTATTATATATTTTATTTTATGTCAATTTTATTTTACTGTATATTTTACTTTATGTCAATTTTATTTTACTATATATTTTATTTTATGTCAATTTTATTTTACTGTATATTTTACTTTATGTCAATTTTATTTTACTATATATTTTACTTTATGTCAATTTTATTTTATTATATATTTGACTTTATGTCAATTTTATTTTACTATATATTTTATGTATATTTTACTATATATTTTATGTCAATTTTATTTTATCATACATTTTATTTTATATCAATTTATATTATATTTCATTCCATGCCAATTATTTTATATCAATTTATTATATTTCATTCCATGTCAATCAGAATTTTTCGTTTACTTTTTCTAAAGGGAAGTCGATTGAATCATGCTGCTTTCTCGATCGATCCTATTGTCCTTATTCGAGAATGTTATTATCAATTAATTATTAAATCATTGAATTTAAACTGAATTAAATGAAATTAAGAATATTCTCCAAATTAAAAACGATAAAGATAAAACGTAAGGATAATCTCGTCACCGTCTTTCAAAACCGATTTCGATCGCTCGTTTTAATTAAATTTCAATGCTACCATCGACGGTCAATACTTTCGTGTATGTTCTTGAATATTTTCGATTCTCTCGAATATGTTCTTGATCGGAGAAAGAAGAATTCTCACGTCGATAATTCAATCGTAGAGTGGCCCATTCGAGCGCAGTGAATAGATCAATTTAAGCGAATCCTTGCACGCACATACATACGTGCACCTCGAATCGTCCGCGTCTTTAACCCACCTTTTTGATTGGGCAAATTGTCTCGTCCGGCAAATGAAAAGACGCCTAACAGTCTTACACACTGGCTGTCAAGGGTGGCGTGGGTGGTGGAACATTATCGCGAGCTTCCTCGTTCTTGCACAAGAAACTGCCAACGGCGTTATTGCGTTTAACGTCGAACGAAACAGCTGGATGAATACTCGAACAGCGCAAACTCCTCTCTCCTTTCTTTTATATTTTTTATTTAATCAATATTTTTTATTTAATTTTATTTAAGTAATAATTTTTATTTAAGTAATTATTTTAGTAATAATTTTTATTTAAGTAATTATTTAAGTAATAATTTTTATTTAAATAGCATTTTTATTTAAGTAATAATTTTTATTTGAATAATAATTTTTATTTAAGTAGCATTTTTATTTGAGTAATAATTTTTATTTAAGTAGTAATTTTTATTTAAGTAGCATTTTTATTTAAGTAATAATTTTTATTTAAATTTAGTGATAATTTTTTGACATTGAAATTAACATTAATATATGCTTCTTTTTCAAAAATTTATTGAAATTAACACAGATTACTTAATTACTTTAGAATACTTTTCTTCTCGAAACATTCAAGATTAAACCCTTGATAATTTACGAAAATTGTCGAAATCGAAATTTGTATATCCATCGCTATAATTCCATCAATAACGTGAAAATTGTTTTTCCTTTTTTTTTTTCCTTCTTCTTATTGCTTCCCCATACACATCGATTTCTCCCCATGGAAAGGAAATTATTTCACAAAAATTGAGCAATACCTTTCCCTAAAAATCGAAATGTGAAATATGTGAAATGAAGGTGTTGCCCGCGGCTAGTGCTTTTTCCTTCGATCGAGTTCGTTGCATTACGTATGACGGGACAAAAATCGAACATAGATTCCTACGATCGACAGACCACAAAAGAAACTTGAATTCAACGCGCTCGAGAAAGTCGAAGTGATGCAATGGGCTCCGGTTATTTCTTTCTTCGCGCACTTGTATCCGAAATGAAAGATTGGGCAACGATGACGTAAACAAGAGGTGTAAAAAAAGAATTGCTTGCCTTCGAAGGTGATAATTACAGAATTTTGAGAACGTGGATGAAAAGTTAATTATGAGAATTGAACTTGTTAGTTGAGGTGGAATTACTTGGGTAACTCTTTCGAAGGCGAATCTCTGACATTTAATCTTCGATTTCTATGCAGATGGAATAATCAAACTTTAAAAATATGAAAATGCAGAGAATGTATAAATATATTAAAATATAATATTAAGATATATTATATATATATCTAAAATATTGAAAATAGACTGCTTATTATAATGTTTAATATTTTAATGTTATAATAAGTCGAAGCAAAGCTGCTGCTTAGACTTCACTTTTGTTTAATTCAGACGAATAAATTACAGATTCTTGTGCAATATGGAAAAAAATGTAAAGTATATATATACTTGCATAAAGTATCTATATACTTGTTTCAATATTTTATAGCGAAAAGAAGTTTTCGTTTTCTAATTATTCATAAAAATATGAATTTGCGTCCAATTATAAAAAGTCATTAATATTTGACATAATGTTATCATGTACTTTACATCCAGCAAAAGAAAGTATCGAAAGATGTTATTCGAATGATTTTATGGTCAGATATTATACGAAAATTAATAAAATAAATAGATAACAAAATAATCTACAAAAATAAAGTAATATGTAACAGTATAAAAATAGTGTAACAAGTATAAAAATAAAGTAGTAAAATAAAATAATCTACAAAAGTAATATATGACAGTATGTCATAGCAATATATACAGTATACATTACATACTACTACATGTATAATATATGATGTACAATTGTGATAATTACATGTATACATACATGCAATAGTAATCTGTAATATATATATATAGATAATTCAGATAACAGGTGTGTAATATGTAATTAATTATAATAATTAAAACTGAGAATACTAAACAGATTGCAACTTCTTCTCGTTCAATGGAAACAAGTCACACCATCATAGCAAACGTTTGATCAAATTGTCAGTCTAAAATATACGATACGTTTCGTTTCATTTTATTTACGACTGTTTCATTTATTTTATATACGACTGTTTAATTTATTTTATATACGACTGTTTAATTTATTTTATATACGACTGTTTAATTTATTTTATATACAACTGTTTAATTTATTTTATATACGACTGTTTCATTCATTTTATATACGAATGTTTAATTTATTTTATATACGACTGTTTAATTTATTTTATATACGACTGTTTAATTTATTTTATATACAACTGTTTAATT